CTTCTACCAACAACATCCAGATGTTCGTGTTGACCTGAGGAACCTCTTTTAGCTCCGCTTTTGGTCTCCACCAGCTGCTGGAGGAAAACATCTGCATCTGCAGCTCACAACGTCTCCGGAGCTGAAGCCTTCCAGCCGGACAGCTGAACAATGAGCTGAGCATTAAATTTTAACACATTTTCCTCCGTTCCTGTGATTAAAAACCTCCCCGTAGACGCCTTAATGGCAGATTTCCCTCCTCTGGAGGGACTGGAAGCAGCAGCAGCAGCTTCGGCCGCCAGAGTAAAGACAATAACTGCTGCAATAACGCCACATTTCATTTGCATTTTGGCCGGAGAAGAACTTATAAAGCCGCTCCGCCTCCCGTTATTGGACGTCTGGAAGCAGAGGCAGGGTTATGAAACTCCTCGGGCGCTTTGCTCTGCTGAGCTGAACCCACAGTAAGTTTGTGAGGACGCACAAGTTTCAGCACCTGCAGGAGTCTGAGTCTCGCTGTCGTCCCTCTAAGAGCAGGTAAGGCCCGACTCCAAACAGCTGCTCACTGGTTCTGTCTGTCTGCTGGTTCTGACTCCAGCTCATCTGCAGCGTCCACGTCTTCATGTGCTGCAGTGTGTCGACGTTTATGAAATAAGAATCTATTCACGTGAGAGCTGTGATGCAACTGTGACTCTGAAAACAAGACGTTCTACGTCTGTATGTGGTTGTTTTGTGTCTCTTTGTAGTCGTTTTGTGTCTCTTTGTGGTTGTTTTGTGTCTCTTTGTGATTGTTTTGCGTCTCTTTGTGGTCGTTTTGTGTCTCTTTGTGGTTTCTCTGTTTCTCTCTGTAATTGTGTTGTATTTTTGTTGTAGTTTTGTGTCTCGTTGTATACATGTTACAACCTTTTTTGGTCCCTTTATGTCTCTTTTTGTGACTGCTGTGTGTCTTTATGGTTGTTTCGTGTCTCTTTTTAGTCGTGTTGCATCTATTTTTGGTCACTTTGTGTCTCTGTTGTCATTGTGATCGGTTTTTGTCTCCTTGCTGTTGTTTTGCTTCACGTTTTGTGTCTCTTTGCAGCTGTTTTGTGTCTCTGTGCTCTTTTTTTGGGTCATGTTCTACCTCTTCGTAGTCGTGTAGCGTCTCTTTGTGCTCGTTTTGTGACTCTTTGTCGTCTTTTATGGCTGTTTCGAGCGTCACTGTGGACATTTTTGAGTCTCCTGTAAAAGCCGGCGTTCGTATTTGGCCCTCTCGTCTTATTTTTCCAGATAACAGCAGCAGCAGCTGGTGAGGATCCGAACCGTCCCGGCTGCACTCAGGTGTTTTGATAGAATCGCTGTAAAACGGAGAACGGATTTATAAAAGAGCTCCGTGTGAGGAGGACCGGCGGTTATGGCAGCAGATAAACCCTCCTGATAAAAGCCTCTTTAGAGACGACGTCGGAGCCGTTTCTTTTACGAGCAGCTGTGTTTTTCTAAGCGACGCTCGTAAACGGCCGGCGAGCGCTCCGGCCTTGAGGCTCGGACTCACCGTTGAAGCTGACGCTGCGGATGTACTTGAGCAGCTTCTTCCCTCCGGCCAGGTCCATGTCGGGGCAGATGCCCGAGTTCTCGGGACACAGGTCGCGCTGCATGTTGTGCAGGGCGTTGGCCATGGCGTACACGGCGTCGATCACGAACTGGACCTTCCCCTCCTGCTCGTACTTGGAGTCGATGCCGATTCGCTCCTGACCTGAGAGACACAAGACGATTTGGTTGTCATTTAACAAACTGCACGACTTCCTCCTCATGAACAAACATCAGACTGATATTTACAGGAAAAATAAACGTACATAAACGGTGCAAAGTGGTTTTAGTGACGGTTCGTTGTGGGAAAATTCACACAAAGAGTCGAGACTTGTTCATAAATCACTGTTTTAATCACGACTTGGAGTTTTGGCACAACAATGACTCACATCACCACAACAATGCTCATATAAAATGAAATAAAAAAAGCAAAAAAAGCTTATATATGCTGTAAAATAAAACATCTAAAACAATATTTCAGCAGCAACTTCTTTGCAAAAACTTCTGTGAAATTTTTGTTTGTTTCTTTTTAATGTTTTAATGAAGGATTTTTACATTGAAATCAGCAAAATGCAGCGTGATGTTCCAGATATTTGCAGTTTTTTTTAATATTTGAAAGTCAAATTCGGTATATTAAGGATTTAAAAATGGCAAAGTGTATTTTGAAAGTGTCTTATTACAACTTTTCCCAAAAGAAAAACTTTTGTTCTGCCAACGCATAACGTCCACATCAAAAATCTGTAATTTTACAAATTACTGAACAATTTGTATTTTACATATTCTAATTTTAGCATCGTTGCCTCACAGCTAGAAGGTCGCCGGTTCTTGTCCCGGTGAGGACACCCGGGATCTTTCTGCGTGGAGTCTCCATGTTCTCCCCGTGCAGCGTGGGTTCTCTCCGGGTTCTCCGGCTTCCTCCCACAGTCCAGAAACATGTTGAGGTTAATTGGTGATTCTAAATTGTCTGTAGGTGTGAATGTGAGTGTGCTTGGTTGTCTGTCTCTAAGTGTAGCCCTGTGATAGACTGGTTACCTGTCCAGGTGAACCTGCCTTCACCCTGAGTCAGCTGGGATAGACTCCAGCCCCCCATGACCCTGGTGAGGATTAAGCTGTACTATTCTGATTATTATTATTAATAGTAATCATAATAATAACTTTACTTACTTATCACATTACTGTTGAATTACATGTGACCATGAACTCCCATTGTTTCATTCTTCATGTTGATTTTACATCATTTAGCAGCTCTCTGAGTTCCTTTTTCACCTTTTTGTTGATATTTTGCACCTTTGTGGTTGTTTTGTGTCTTTTACTGGTAGTTTGCATCTTTTTGCAGTCACTTAGCAGCTCTTTGTGTCCCTTTTGCACCTTTTTATGGCTGTTTTGCATCTTTTTGTTGATATTTTGCATCTTTTTCTGATCCGTTCACATTTCAGCCCGACTGCTGAGCGTCTGTGTTCAGTTCAGCGTCTCCAACAACATCAGAGCTTTGGGCTCATTTCAGCAGATCATCGCTCGCATCAAAGGAAAAAAAAAACAGAAACCAGCCGAGCTTCAGTCGAGGTGTCAGAGGATGTTATTTTGGACCCTGAACGCCTCGTCGACGTGGCGCCTCCACAAACATCCAGTTCAGTAATTAATGCAGAGGAACTTGAGCAAGTCACAGTTTCAGGAGGCCGTTTGATCTGCAGTCAAAGCGAGCGTGTCATTTCTACAAGCAGAGGAAACACCAGAACAGGAGCGGCTGGTCTGGAGGACCTTCAGGACGGAGTCGTGTCGACCAGATGCGGCGCTAATTCAAACTGCAGCTTCTGCTAAATGGGTTAATAACACAAATAATTGCCCCAGTTGCTGCAGCGGCGTTTAATTTGGGGGTGAAAGTCGGTCGCCTCGGAGGAGAAGCGGCAGCCAGCGGGTCGACCCACTGCTGAGAACATCTGAGCTGCAGAAGGACTCATTAGCTGAGATCCTGACACGACGCATCGACTCACATCTGAAGGCTCCCGTCTGGTTTGACGGGTTTTTCCACTTAATGAGTGTTTACTGCAGCTCTGCTAACCGGCACTTTGTCTCTGCTCCTAAAATATTTAAAACAAAACAGTTTATTATCCAGCAAACGAGTCACAGTTTCATTAAGAAGCTGTCGGAATACGTTACGAAGTCCTGCGATAGCGTGGACAGAACGCAGCGCTGCAGAGGAAACGTGAAACACGGATCACGGACATACAAGTAGAAGCTAAAACAAGGAGATAAAAAACCCTAAAATTCAACACGTAGAGGCAAAAATGTAATGAAAAAGGAAAAATATGAGGTTGTAATGTCAAAATTATGACATAGAAACTTAAAATCAAGAGACGTGGAGCAAAAAAAATAAGAAAAAGACATAAAACAACTGTAGAGGTGCAAAACTACTGCAAAGACATGACAACAGGCCATAAAACGACTACAGAAAGATGCAAACTGACTACAAAGAAATGAAGTGACCACAAAAAGAGAAATAATGACGACAAAGAAGTGCAAAATCACCGAAACGTGACGCAAAGTGAGTAAAAAGATTTGTAAACTATCCACAAAGAGGCGCAAAACAATCATAAAATGATGCAAAACAACTACAAAGGGACACGATATGACTACAAAAAGGTGCAAATCAAGCAAAAAGAGACACGAAATGACCAAAAAGATGTGCAGAACAGCTACATAAATACAAATAAATGACAATAAAAATGCAAAACAACTGCAGAAAGACGCACAATTACTACAAATCGACACAAACCAACTACAAGAAGACACAAACAACTGAAAAGAGGCTCAAGACAACTGCAAAAAGATGCAAAATAACTACAAAGACACAAAAAACAACGACAAAAGCACGTAAAATGACCACAAAGAGACACAACAAACTACAGAGAATAACAACAATTGATAACAAAAACACAAATATAACAAGAAGAAACAAAATGACCAAAAAAGGAGAAAGAAAATAACTACAAAGGTGCAAAACAGTAAAAAAGTTACTGCAAAGCCACAAAAAACAACTAAAAAGAGACTCAAAACATCTGCAAACACACACAAAATGACCACAAAGAGAATTGCGACTGAAAACAAGACACGAAACGACCACAAAAAGATGCAAAACAACTGAAAAGACAAAAGATTACCACAAAGAGACACAAAATGACCAAAAAAGGAGAAAGAAAATGACAACAAATGAACAAAACCACTGCAAAAGCCTCTAAGTTACCACAGACACACAAATAAAACTACAAACAGAATTAAACAACTGAAAAAAGACGCAAAACAACTACAAAGACACGCAAAATGACTGAAAAGAGACACAAACGTGTTGTAACTGCCGTCATTCAGAGCTACTAACCTTATCTCAACCTGTCCTGAAACCATTCTGTTCCAGTGAACGTTACTCAACACACCAACCATGAAACCAGACTTTAATGTCACCTGTAATGAATAAATCATCTCGTCTGAGGCTGAATGGACTCCAGACTTCATCATCAGGATGTCAAACCACCGACTGAGGCTCAGCGGCTCACATGTGAACACAGACCAGGAGTCCGTCAGTCCGGCTGAAAGCAGCCGACTCTGGTCCAACAGGTGAGTCCATCGCAGGAGGCTGCAGACGGAACTCTGGATTCATTATCGTCGGCTGGCAGACCTGCGGAGGCCAGAGGTCCGTTACCGAGGCGCCGCCGACGCCCCATGTTTTATTCACGCCTCTCAAGAAGCGCCGAGGAATGAAAGCTCGCTCGCCGCTCAGAGTTCAGCGGAAAACATGCAGGAAGATAATTATCTGACAAATATCCACCAGGAGGCCCAGAGGACGAATCAGAATCACACCGGTCTGATGGATCAGCACCGCTGGATGAAATACTGAACAGGTCCAACGGGCCTAAAGGGACCGGACGGGCCGGTACTGTCAGCGAAACACTAGAGAGACACAAAACAACCACAAAGAGACACAAGACGACCACAAAGAGACACAAAACAACCACAAAGACACAAAACAACCACAAAGAGACGCAAAACAACCACAAAGAGACACAAGACGACCACAAAGAGACGCAAAATGACCACAAAGAGACACAAAATGACCACAAAGAGACGCAAAATGACCACAAAGACACAAAACAACCACAAAGAGACACAAAACAACCACAAGGAGACACAAAACAACCACAAAGAGGCACAAGACGACCACAAAGAGACACAAAACAATCACAAAGAGACACAAACAATCACAAAGAGACACAAAACAAACACAAAAAAGATAAAACAACGACAAACAGATGTAAAATAAACCACTAAGAGACAAAAAGTGACCACGAAATGCAAATAAACCACAAAAACACGACGACAAGATGCGATGCGATGAGAAAGAGACAAAAAAAAACTAGAAAAAGACATAAAGCAACCACAAGGAGACACAAAACGAATACAAACAGATGGAAAGTGACAAATAACGGCAACAAAAAGACAGAAAAAAGGTGCAAATATCCAGACAAAAGGGCAAAAAGAAATCTCAAAAAACTACAAACTGACAGCCGCAAATGGGCCGTAGAGACAAAACAACAACCACAAAATGTCCACAAAGAGATAAAAATGACTCAGAACCAGAAGGATTCCTTCGTCCTGTCCGGTGGCGTGTTGAAGTTGGTGCACGATGTGGAGCCAATGAGGAACTCTCCATCACTGTGCTGTAAATCCTGGTATGACTGTAAAACTAAGATCCTTAGTGTGCCGTCGTCGTCTTCGGTGTCCGTCGTGGTTCTGGTCTCTGCTGCTGCTGCTCCGAACAGAACAAAGCGTTCAGCTTTAGTTCTGCAGGGCGACGGCGATCCCTCGAATCACACCGAGACCGAAGCAGGAGAGTCGAGCCGACGCCTGCGCAAACTTCTGCAAAGTTCATATCTTTCGGAGAAAAATCAGCCGGACGAGATAATGTTGGCGCGGGTCGATGCTCCTAATAGAACAGGTTCATTAGCGTTCAAGGCCTGTTCGCGCCGTCCTACTGGGTCGCTAATGGCGAAGCGGCATCGATCGCCGTCCGGAGAGGCTCCCGGCTTTCTGCTTAACATTGCAAATGCAGCTCCGCAGAAAGAAAAGCGCCGGTGGATAGAAAAAGTCAATACGCGATGATGGTGTTCATTAGAGCAGGATGCCGGAGTCTCCTCGTCTCCCGACTCCGCAAACTGTACTCAAAGTTCCTCTGGAGGGAAAAACGCTGCACAGAGGACGTCACGACTGAAGGATCTACTGGGAAAGAGTACTCGAGTAGCTTAAAACTACTCGTTTTACTCGATGCAGGAAAATAAGAAAGAACCAGTTGTGGGACAATCTGGATGTGATCATTGTGTACAGCAACAACAACAAAGACACAAAAACAACCACAAAGAATCACAAAAAGGAGCAAAACAACTTCAAAGAGATGCAAAAGACGTAAATTGGCTACAAGGAGACATAAAGTGACATAAAGTCAACGACAGAGAGACGCAAAACAACCACAAAAAGATGCAAATTAAATAGAAAGAGACGTAAAATGACCACAATTAGAGAAAATATGACCACAAAGTGAAACAAAAATGACGAAATAAAGATAATAAGCGAAAAATTACCACATAGACACACAAAACCATCACAAAGTGACAAAAAACAACCAAACGGAGACGCAAACCGATCATAAAAAGGAGGAAAAGAAATAAACAGAAACACAAAACAACTACAGAGAGATCCAAAGAAACCACAAAAAGACACAAAACAACCACAAAGAGACCCACAACGCAAGGAATAAGCGCAAACTGAACACAAAGTTGACACAGAAACGCAAAACCACCACAAAGGGACGCAAAACAGCTATGAAGAGACACAAAGAACCACAAAGAGACCCACAACAGCAACAAATAACCACAACATTAACCCAGAGACACACAAAACCGACACAAAACAACCAAATAAACCCTGAAAACTACAAACTATTGTGTGTTTGCGTAGCAGATACGATGTGGCTCATCACTACGACCAACCGGACTTTGTTCCACCGTCTGTGGACCAACAAACCAGCAGGGCGGCGCCGTCACACCTGGTCAAACTCACCTGTGCACTTGCGGCTGCTCTCGTCCTTCTTGGACGAGCTCATCAGCTTGCAGTTGAAGTTCTCCTCCCAGTACTCGGCGAACCAAACGTTCCTGCGGTTGTTCTCCAGCGTCCGCGACGTGAAGTAGGCGTCGAAGCCTGAAAGACAAGCGGCGGCGGGTCAGCGAAACACAAACAACAAGTCGGGCCTCATTCATTAGGCGCTAACGGCCACAATCACACGGGTGTGAACAGTCGGAGCGTTTCCTAATGTACCCAAGTGTTTATCTGCTCGTCTGCGCTGCATTTCAATCAGTGCTTTTATGCAAAGTGTTGTCAGAGGGGAGCTCTTCAGGAAGGACTTGGTTGTGGAAAATAACGAGGATAATCGGCGGCGGCGGCGACGGTCCACCTTTCCTGGCAACGGGCGCGGTTTAAAAAAGACACCTTGGGAGCCGGAGCCAGTTGAAACAGCTCAAAACGTTGTGTAACGCTGCCCGAACACATGCCAAGACAACAACACACACACACACACACACACAGAAAAAAAAGCCCTTCACATATGGTAATAAAAATCTTGGCAAGAACAGCAAACTCCACGGAGATGAATAGAAACGGAGCGGCGGATCACCAGAAATAGCTCGAAACATGTAACCTTTGCACAAACCACAAAGGGCTCGGAGACGTGGAAGGTGGTGTGTAGGTTCCTAATCGCATAAGTAAATTAAGAGATTAGCGCTAACTATGAACAGAAACAGACTTCAAAACAAGAAAGAGGTCAAAAAACGGGATTTTTTATTCATCCGTCGGCAAATAATACAAATTATAAAATCATTTGCAGCTTCAGAACAACCCACCAGCAGCAAAATAACATTAAGAAGGCTTCATGGAATGAAAGTGGCAGCCAGAGGAGCACCAACACTCACTCTGCATCGGTTATATGTAGATATGTCTCCTTATTTATCAGTTTTTTGTGATTCTGGTGCATGTTTTTGGCAGAAAGTGTGACCTGTTGATAGAAATCACAACTGATGAATCTGCAGCTTTGAAAAGGAACCTTGAGACGATGTTTCTCCTCCACAGCATCAAAAAAGACGCTTGGGTCTCCGTAGGCTCAGCGAAAAAGCTAATGCAGTTAGAAAAGCGTCTCTTCCAGGCAACGAACCTGATGAACGGTTTTCTGA